GGCCACTAGATGGCAACCTTTGGTCCCTGCCATAACTCTGCAGCCTGTCGCCCTACTCGGGGCCAGTCCAGGGGCTCTGGGAGACAAAGTCCCCTCTAAAGCAGCATTCTTCGCTGACAGTACTGGCTCTGACTCTGTGTAACCGTCTTTAATGGGTGCATGGAGTGGCGATAGTACTTTCTGCATTTTATGTTTAAGCAGAGGGCTGCATGCCACCTGCTCCAGATGGCTCTCTGGGCCCTCTTAAACACGGGCCATCATTTTGCTGGCTCCCAGGCATCCTGTCCAACTTCCCATTTCTCCTGACAGCCTTGCCCCTCTGAGGGATATGGTAGTTAAGTGAACAGGCGGCTGCAGCTCCTGCGTCTGCTCAGTCCGGACTCTGGCCTGTTTCCTGTGTGTCATGGCCCTTGACCTTCCTTCCCTGTGAAGAGTGGGGATCTGCTGGCCCCGTCCTCTCCACTCTGGCCCGTTATTAATAGATGATTAACTATTCAGGTACACATCATTGAGAAAGCCTGTGTAGAGGGCCCGGAGCAGAGTAAGCCCAGCCCCCACTCCTGCCTCGCAGAGCTCCCCCTTTTCCTGTCAGCCTATCCTGCGAGTCTCGTCAGCATCGGGGAGGCCTCTGACCAGTCTCTCAGTTCTTCCCTCCCTTCTCCAGACCTTCCACCCAGATCCAGAGTGAGCCGCTCAGACGCGTTCCTGATCGTGGTCTCTCCGACATGCACTGCGGTGGCCTCTTGTTTACAGGAGTCAGTAAAAACCATTCACCACAGACCACAGAATCCTTTTCTGGTCTGCCTCTGCCCCCTCCCAGCCTCTGGGCACACCACTCCCCTCTCACTGTCCACTCCAGCTGCAGTGTTCTCCTTGTAGTGCTTTGAGCGTCCTTCTGGCCACTGGGCCTTTGCACATGCTCGTCCTCGTATCTGGGGACGGCTCTCCCCCGCCTCTCCAGAAACGTCTAGTTTCTGCCAACTTCTAGCACTTGGTTCACGTGTCAGTCCCTTGAAGGAGCCATTTCTGACTTACAAAATCGTCTAGTTTTAACCTTTACTATTCTCCAGCACCAGAGAAAAATCCGGGTATTCTAAATAGTTCCAAACCCATAGAATTAAACACTCACTCTCATTTTTGTCTTTTCGATGGTTTTTCATCTCAATAGCAAGATCAAGGGAACTTATTTTAGTTAGCTACAAAAAGGGAGCTTTCATGGAGTTGTTGCCAAAAATAGGTCACGGTGCTCTGTCAGGTTCCAGTTTATAAGGTATGTAAAACATTTACATTGGCATATGTGTTATCTCTACTTAGTGGCACATTAAAAAGCTCTTCAGTGGGACCAGCATGTGGAGTAGTGGTTAAGGTGCTGGACTCCCATGTAGTTGTCTACAGTTCAAGTCCCAGACCCAGGACTCGAAACTCACACTAAGCGCATGTGCATGCGTGTCCAAAATCTCGAGAGAAGACTGGAGGAGAAGGGATTGTATTGTGGCCATCCCCTGGGGGTGATTTCTCACTTTCTGTCTCTCTGTCTGTCTCTGTCTCTCCAGCGAACAAATACACTCTAAAGCAAAAATCTCTCAAAAAAAAATTAAAAATGAGAATAAAAAATGAGAAGTACTACAGGGAGACACAAGGAAACCTCTCTAGCACTGAGCAGCTTCAGTATCGCTGGTAAAAATGTTGAATCTTGGTTCTCATTTTTAAGGTCTAGACATTGAGAACAACAGAAAATTAGCTCGTGCCAACAACCAGTTAGCTACATCATTAGGAAAAGTCAACACCGTGCCACTTACTGGTGAAGTAGGTGTTCATCCTCAGGACTCCTTGGGCAAACGGCTGATCTCAAGTCTGGGCAGGGAAAGAACAGGTGGGCAGAAGTGTCTTGCACCAGAAAGTTCAGAGACTGGTGGGGACACAGCAGAGGGCCCTGGAGCGAGTGGTAAGAGGCCGTCCTCACTTGGGACATTTTGTGCATCAGAAAGAATAGAGATAGCAGCAAACGATACAGGTGAATTAAAGGCAGAAAATGCCGAATCTAGGAAAGAAAGGTGCATGTGGAGCTTTTTATAGAAAAGTAGCAGCCGGTCAGTGTGCAAGATTAGGAAATCTCCATCTTCGGAATCGATTCACTTGTGTGTTGTGAATGGGGGAGTAAGTCCTCCTTGTGGGGTCTCTAACGATCCCCCAGGTTCAGCTCACTCGGTAGACACTGCTGCTTGGCAGGCCGAGGCCCCGTGTTTCCATAAAAACAACAGATCTGGTCTCTTCAAAAAATGGCATTGTCGGGAGAGACAGAGGAAGGGTGTGCTCTGTCCTAGAAACCAAGAGGCGACATCGGGGAGCGATGCCGCATCTCGATTGGATCCTGTAAAGGAGATTGGGGGAACAGTGGGGAATTGCAGGTGGGTTATGTATGAACTAGGAAGTTTGAACGTTAGTGATGTTAGGCGTTTGATTAGGCTTGCATCTTTCGAATTGTACGGGAAAAAGTGCTACGTATGTGTAGGTAGGCCAGCGTGTTCCTGCCGAGTCAAGAGGATGGGTATGCGGTGCTTTTATTTTTTAAACATTTCTGTACATTAAAAAAAATTTTAAATAAAAATAGATCTTTATGGGCCATATTCTAGCTTCAGTTTTCATTCTTCTCCCTGGTGTTGTGTTTTACATTATTGTTCAATTAAAAAGCAAACAAAACTCAGCTCATAATTTGCCTTTATTTTGTTTTTCTAGATGTGATACAACAGAAAAGCTCAGAAATACTTTGGATTATTTAAGATCGTTATTAAATGACTCTACAAACTTTAAACTTATTTACAGATATGCGTTTGACTTTGCACGGGTGAGTTCTCTGGAGTCTCTCCAGGTGTTTCCCCTCCCCCCCCTTTTGCTGTCTATTGAGATTTCTCCCCCATGCCATGGTAAAGAACTTGAATAAGTCACTCCCAGGATGCTGCTTAGTATCTCTGTCTATGTGTATACGTTTTAAATGAGCCCTGCTTCTGGGCGAACACTCGCTGTGTCAGCAAAAGCTGTAGTTGCAGACCCTTGCAAGCCCTTCCCTTTGGCTCACAAGTAGCGTCCACACGGGCGTGTAACACACTGTGCACTAGGGGTCTTGGACGCAAGCTCAGACAGCTTTCCTCCCTCACAGGGCAGCAGACCTTCACTTACTGAGTTTGTCTGAATGAGCCAGTCATGTCTGATGTAGTTTCATTTTGGGGTGGCGTTACTGTATGTGGAAACCATGTGCGTTTCAGACCTAACCTCATACCTGTGAACAACATTAAGATGATTTTTCTAAACCATCATTTTGAAAAGTGCTTCTTGCTGGCCTCATAGTCAGTCCTGTCCAGGTGGGTAGTTCTACGAGAGTGAATTGAAAGTCTTGTTTTCCAGCCTGGTCACCACGGGTAGTGAATCGTGAAGCTCCAGCCGGCATTGCATTCACTCGAACACAGTCCACACACAGCCTGTGTAACTAGGCTTCATCGAAGGCTTTTACTCAGATGTCTGTGTGTAGTAGAGTCAGGTGACTACACTTTCTCGATTTCATTTTTAAATGATTTTTTAAAAACTGAGAACTTGGT